AACAAACCAAAAAAAACAAGCTTTGATCTACTGAGCTTCAGCCCCAGAAAGTAAATGGCAAAGAGAAGGCCGAGCATTTGGTTGGAAAGATACCCAGAGAATAAAATTGGGGTTTTTTGGTTGGTAACCAATAATTTAAACAACGAAGCTCAGACAAACAAAAAAATGGAACAGAGCATTGAGTACACTGAAACCAGTGAAAGAAAAGTCCAGCTATTTCGAGGTTTACCAATTAATGAAATGAATAATTGTTGACGAGACATTGCAATGCTTTTCAAGTTGGAACAAATACAATTTTAATAAATGAAATTTTGTTTTGATAAAAGCAGTAGTCTCCTGAATCCATGGCTGCAACCAAAGAGAGCAGTGTCGGTTAATACCGAACAATACGGCAGCGTTTTATATGTTTCCCAGACTGCGCTTCCGCCTTTCCGAAAACGCATATCTCTCCCGCCGTTTCCTCTTTATGCTCGATACTACAAAAACAAATTTTTTTGGTCAGAATTGTAATTTTGTAATTTATGTACCCAGCTCTTTTTTTTTTGTTATTTTTTTATAATAAGGTGGGTATACCAAGCTTTATTTGGATATAATTTTTCCTTTCCATTTATTTTCATTGTATTCACAATTTATCATAATTAATATCATTTATAATAATATTAAAAGTTTTGATTAAGTCGATGTCACCTATTAATTAAATAGCACCTTAAATGATAAATTTACTATAAAGTCAAATTAAAGTTATAATAACAAAATATAAATAAAAAAATTATATCTTTTACTTAAAAATTTATCTAATAACAACATATAATTTTTTAAAATACATGTATTTTTTTCTTTTTTTAATTCACTTTTTTTTTTCATTCTCGTCTATATTATGGCTGTGCAATATTTAATGATATCAGCCAAATAAGGGTAGAGCTATAAGGGGAGGCAACGGTTATGGTCCCCCAAAATTTTTTCTCACGTATTATATAATCATTAATTTCATTAATTATTACTTTAATCTCCTCTTTTATTTTAAAATTATTATTTGACCTCTTTTTCATTAATTTTTTGCCTTCGCCTCTACTTACATAGCTAATTACTAATATGATTATGTATAAATATTTTATTCAACAATAAGGTGCGTATGTCCTTCATGTAAAAGTCATTTTTGAATTCCCCTACCCCCTATTTATCATATTTTATGTATAAAAACTTATTAGAAAAATAGAAAAAAATATTAACCTTAATTGTAATATTATATATATATATATATACACTACAAAAAAAAAAAAATTGGTTATATACTACATATTATATGTTAGGATTCCTTAATTCACTGTTATAAGCAAATTGGGCCACTCATATAAAAAAAAGTTCCCTAGCTTTTGCCTTTTTACTAAGTGAGAAGACAATGTTATCATGAAGGATAAGAAACTTCTAAAGCATCTCCCAATAAATGGAATGAGCAAATAAATATATCAATGTTTGTTTTGCTTTGACATCAATTTCATGTCAATTTCTTTTTCTGTGCAATATGTGCTTTTCTTAATGCACCTTTCTCCACCAAAACTTACTTAATGCAAGTAAATAAATTTTGGAGATAAGTTTCATGTCGGGCAAATAGGCCAAGATGCCAATAAGAAAAAGAAAAGAGAAGGAAAGATGGTGGTATAGGAAGAAAAGTTATTGCAAAGTGACCAACACCTCACCCCCCCCCCCTCCCCCCGCCCCCCACTTTCTCCATTCCACTAGTGGTGTCTTTGTCTATGATTTTGACATAAGAGTCCAAATTGTTAACCTAACATTTTTATTTAAGCTTTCATTTACCTTTCTTTTTCATTTATTTCAATACATTACTCGTAAAAATTAAATAAATAAACCTTTAATTTTTGGATTAAATTATAAAATAACTCAATAAAACTAATTTAGACATGCAAATATCAATAATATCATTATTAAATAAACTTTAAATGCATCGGACGAATCTAAAATTTATGCACGTCTTAAGCTTTCAATAATTTTTTTTCTTTTAAACTTCTCACACTGCCAAAATTTTATTCTTAGAGAATCATATTGCAATGTTGAATTTTCCTATATCATATATACACAAAGAAGTCACAATGTAATCTAAGAGCATTGTTGAATTTGGTTTTGTTTTTCCTGTAAGGAAGTTTTTTTCATTGCTTAATGCTTAGTGCTTCTTGTATAAATTTATTGCCCCCCATCTGCAAGACTTCATGTCTCAAGTCAATTCATGGTCCTACAAAAATTTTCTTTTTGAGCAAATTGGATTTTTTTTGTCATGGTCAGAGAGCTTTAGCCCATTCCATCACTGGGTTTACAGTCACACATCCATAACCCACTTTATATAACCATTTTAGTATCATTTTTTGGTCGGCCAAAAATGAAATTTCTTCAATTCTAATTAATGGGTTTCATATATATTTTGCTCTAGTTACTAGTACTACACCTCATAAAATAAATCTGTAAAAAAATTACCTCAGCAATTAAAAATTTCCCTCTTAAAATCTTTTTATAACTTTTTAAAATGATTTTAAAAAAATATAAATTAACAGTTATTCAATTAAGAAACTCTTGAAATTTTATGTTGGCAAAAACTTTTTACATAATTTATCGAATGAAAATTTCAACAATCATACAATTTATTGATAAAATTTAATTCTTTTCATCTCAAAAATATATAAATTTAGCAAACAAAAGAAAATTAGAGAGTGACAAAGAGGGGTTTTCCCATGTGATGTAGGGGGCAAGTGTCAAAAATAATGTTACGAAATTGGGGTGTGTGGGACAATGAAATTCACAGCCTTGTTCCCTCCCATGGGCATTTGCTATCTTTATAAATATAAATGAATTTTGTTATATTTATAATTTACTCATTTAATTAGTGAATTTTAAAAAAATTATTTGTGATTGTTTGTTCATTTTAATAAATACTTAGTTAATTTATAATTAGTGAATTTTGTTAAGGAAAACACTTTTAAAGGTCATTATATAAAATAATATTTTCACTCAATGCATTAAAATTATAAATTAAATTAACTTAACACAAAATTATTATAAATAATATATTAATTAACTTTAAAAGTATCCTAAAAGCAAAACCTTTTTAATTGCTACACCTTTGAGAGAAACTTTTAACTTTAAAACTTTGTCCGATGTCTTATCTCTAACCTGAACTGGACACGTGGCTGTCACCGAGAAACATATTTATCTTCCCCGGCTTTCCAACAAACGACAGGCACTAGAAAAAAGAATCTTTTGCAATTACACCCTTCTCCCGTCCCCCGGTAGCGAAAACGGAGATGCCGGTGCCGGTTAGGCAGTGGACCCACGTGGCGAGATACCATTCCGCAATTCAATGAGAGGCAGGGATGACCTGTTGTTAAAATTAACTTTTTTTTTTTGGTTTCACTTTTCGCAGGTGAGACCCACGTAAGAATATGTGCTGAGCTGTACGTAGCCAGCCAGGTGGGTCACTTGCCACGTGGTTTTGTTTCATATTGGCGTTGACAGGTTGTATAATACTAGTTTTTTGAAGAAAAAAATCAAAAAATCGCCGACTCGCCAAAACAAGTTGAAATTGCAACTTGGAATGAATAAAAGTTTTAAGTTTTGAAAAATATCTTATAAAATTCTATATTTAAATCAAATTTATATAATTATTTTTAAAAAATAATATTTAACAAATTTTAAAAGTTTGGTCAATGTGATCAAATCTTTAGATTATCTAAATAGTACATATTTAATTGTCAATATACACATAAAAATAATTCATCTCTTGTTAAAAAAAGATTCGTCAAATATCTTTATTTACATTTTATTAAAATATTATATCAAGATTAAACATTGAGCCCTTAATTTATTTATATCATTAAATGCAATACAAGCTTATTTAGAATTATTAAATAGGTTTGTAACTAATGACGTATTCACATTTTTTTTTTTAATTATCAATTATTTTAATTAAATCATCATTTATTATTTCATATATAAGATAATAAAAAAATTAAATACATAAGACAATTTATAAAATTTGCATTTAAATTTTCTTTTCATTGAAACTTCTTGTACACACCCTTACCTTTTCCTTCACTTTAGGTAACTTATTGACTTGAATAAATTATGTTTCGAAGAATCAATTTTAATATCCTTTGACCATATTTTCGAATTACAGGTTCCGATCTTATAACTCTTAACATACTCAAAATCAACTTCCTTCCATTAACGCTAAAAGTACCATCAACAAATTTAATATTTATAATTTTTTTATAAAAAATATATTATAAAAAATTCCCGTTTATTTGGTTAGTGAAGGAATTATTTAACGAAAGAAAGAAAAGAAAGCGAGTATTTGGAAGAGCAGGCTCAAATACTCGGGAAGGGAGAACCTGAGGGCATCTGACATGGCAAAAAAAGGGGGCAGCAAAGCATTATCTTTTTCAGCAATATGGAGGAATATAACAGCATGAAAAGATCTTGAAGTCCACAAAAATTGTGGCTCCAAATTTTTTGCCTCTTGCTTATGTGGCATTCCCCACCATTGTTTAAACCACCCCACCCAACACCCTTTGCCTCTCCAGTCTCCCTTCCCCGATCAAATTCACCAGCAGAAATCTGAGGGACTGTCACCGAGACAAACAAGCCAGCGAGAGAATCATTAGGAAATTAGTTGGTAATGATTTTCTGAAAAAGAGAAAGGTTTGCTGTTTACTACACAAGTTACAACCATGTCTAAACTTAATGACTCTTCGGCTATAAAGCTGTTTGGCAAGACGATTCCATTGCTGACATTGACCCAGGAGAAAGCTTTGGCTGATCATGAGTTTTCCTTTATAGGAGCCGCTAAAGAGGACTGTTGTGATACAAATCTTCTTTCTTCGTCTAATTCTTTAGGTGGTGTGAATTCTAATGATGGGGTTCAAGCTCAGGCTCCCAGGGAAGACCAGGTATACATGTTGACTGAGTTTGAGCTCTAATTTTTCTATTTAAATTGGGGGCATATGATATTTGCAAGTTCTTAATTACAAACTACAAACTGCTTTTCACAACCTGGAAATCATTGACGGGTTGGCTTTAGTATTTTTCTTGGTTTTTGTTCAGGACTTGAGAAAGCCGCTGACTCTGTTCTGGACTTTGTTTTCCTGCAATTCTTAATGGCTTAGGTTCTTGGAAATTCCAAGCACAACCCATTTTCTCTATTAGGCTTTACAAATTTCTAGTCAAAGGCGTTGTGCTGATATATTTTCATCTGATAGTTTAAAGGACTATTAGTTTTGGGTTTGATTTATTTTGGTCGGCGTTGAATATTCAAATTAAGTTCAGCTACCTTGTAAACTTGTTCAAAAAAGGATTGTTCTTTTTTTCTATTTGCTTGAGCTGATTGTTTTGAGTTGTCTGTGGGAAATGTTCTTGCAATTTCAAACAATCATTTCAGGTTAATGTCGATTGCTTGCACACAACTGAGCAACATTATTTATGTTTATTAAACTACAAGTTGTCCAGCTGAACCTTAGTTCTATTGTCTGTTATAATACTTTTTTTTTCTCTTTCTTTTTTGAATCTTTTTCGATCCCTTGAATGAGCTTGCTCTGTTTCTGGAGGGTTCGGTTTCAATGATCTGCCATCTATGACTTTTTTACGTTTCAAAAAAAAAAAAAAACTATCTCATGGATTCTTTTGTCAGAGGCATATTCTGAGTTGAAGCAAAGGTTAGCCACTATGATCTTATATTAGCCGTAGCCTGGAACGACCTATGGAATAGAGTCTGTCAATAACAGATCAAGCTGTGTTTTTTGGCTAAGCCTTAAGCGCCTGCATATCACTCCCTTAACAGCCATGCTAAACTGGTCGTCCTTTGTTTGGGTTTTGGACTTTTTTTCATTATTTTTTCCTCCCTTTTCTTCTTGATTTCCTCCTTGTTAGCATGAAAGCCAAGGCAGTATAATAGAGATTTATTCCTACTTCATGACATTAGACAAGCTTAAATTAGTCCTTATTTGTTTATTTCTGCGTATAGTCAGTAATTTCTCATTAAAATTCTGGATTTAGGAATCAGCGGAGAAAGAGAAACAAGAAGATAATACATCACATCAGATCAGAGAGGATTTAGATGATACTACTGCTCCATTAGCAGGCATCACCGACAATGCTAGGAGTCCTTTAGCCGAAAAAGAAACTGCATTGCTTAAAAGCTCTAAGAACGAAGACATAAGTGAGACAACTTCCCCACAAGAAAAGTCTTTGAAGAAGCCTGACAAGATACTTCCATGTCCACGATGTAATAGCAAGGAAACCAAGTTCTGCTATTACAACAATTACAACGTGAACCAGCCGCGTCATTTTTGCAAAAACTGTCAAAGATACTGGACTGCTGGAGGAACAATGAGGAACCTACCAGTTGGTGCCGGTCGTCGCAAAACCAAGAGCTCTTCTGCTCTGCATTACCATCATATTATGATTTCTGATGCTATCCGAGCAGCTCAAGCAAGTGCTGCAAATGGAATACATCGAAACCCCTCTTCTGAAAACAAAAAAAGCTGTGTCCTCACTTTTGGCTCCGATTCTTCTATACCTCTAGCTTCAGTATTCAATATTTCAGGAAAAACATGGATTAATGTTCAGAATGAGTTTCAGAAACCTGAGCAAAGAAGTCTTCTTGAGGATAATCACTCGGGTGAATCTTTGATTACTGCTTCGTATTCCTTAGAGAAGGAAGGCAAGGCTAGTTTAAATCAAGCTGAGGATAAGAATTATCAATGGTTTCCTTCTAAAGTACCATGTTTCACGAGGCCTTCTTGGCCTTATCCATGGGACTCAATCCACTGGAATACTGCAATGCTTCCATCTCCACTTACTCTCTGCCCTGATCCAGGCTTTCCAGTGTCTTTCCATCCGGCTCCAACATATAGCAACTACGGGGTAGCAAGCCCTTGGGATGTTCCAGTGGCCTCCCCATCACCCTCTTCTGTCAACCAATGCGCTTCAAGCTCTAGTCCAACTTCTCCAGCTCTGGGGAAGCATTCAAGGGATGAAAACATTCTCAGTCCAGCTAACTTGGAGAAGGGAAAGCCCTCGGGAGAGAGTAATAAGTCAGAAGGAAGAGATTTGAATTCAAAAACTTTGAGGATAGATGATCCTGGTGAGACTGCAAAAAGCTCTATGCTGACAACACTTGTGATTAAAAGCAAGAAGACCAATTCTATCAATTCGGGAGGTCTATTTGATGGCTTTCAATCAAAAATCAGCGATGACAGAAATTACAGACTAGAAACACTCTCGGTGTTGCGAGCCAACCCTGCAGCCTGGTCTCGATCCCTCAACTTCCACGAGAACACATGAAAGAGAGATGATACTAGCAGCTGCATACTCTATGCTATGTCAGCAACTGATCTAATTATGAGCTCACATCATTCAACCACTTTGTAGTTGACAGATTTTTTCCACCTTCACCTTAAGGTTATGATCTTACTAAAAGAGAAGGGGAGAATGGAATTATCCATTTAGTTATCTACTTTTACCTTGGTAGAAGAGTAAGCTATCCCTGACCAGCTCATTTAGTTGCCTTTTATCTCTGCTGTGACAATGCAAGTGGGTGTTTTTGTCTTGATCACAACAGGTCAACTAGGTTTTCATGTAGATATTTTTATGTGAGACTGATATATATGCTTGAAAGTTGAAACAGAGAGATACTTGGATGATACAACTTTCAGATATCCTGAAATGAACTTGTAAATTAATCATAATCCATAACTATTTTTTATCACTTTTTTTTTCTCTTGTGCTTCAGTGAATCACCTGCAACATTCAGTTTTCAATTATGTATTATTCTCCATCTTCTGCTGCTACAATAAATATCTTATTTCTCCTTCTAGAAGGCCCTACTGCTCTTAAATTCTGAGAACATCAGGAAATGGGTGCCTATACTTGCATTAATTGATGCATGTTAGGCTCAGCTAAAGTTACAGTTAATTTCTCTCCCTTGGTAACCAAGAAAAGGAAAAAAGTCCTGGTTATAAAGTAAATTACTGCCGACATCCCGTGGTCCATTGATTAAGTGTTGAATTCTGAATTTCAGTGATCAAAGTTCAATCTTTATCGATCCCAACTATAAAAACAAAATTACCTCATGTGGAAGTTAATTCTATTGGATATGAAGAAGCAGATTCAAATGATAGAAAAAAGGATGATGTAGGCCCTCAGTAGAGCAGATAACCATGAATTTTATGTCAAGGCCGAGCACCTATCACTCTCAACACCAAAGAATCCAGCCAACCAGTTCTATAAAGCAAAGACGAGAATAAAGTTCTTCTTTTCTGTCTTTTTTTTTTTGTTCATATGCTTTTGTTTTTCTTCTTTTTTTTTACCGTACTATTCTTGTGATATGATAGATATACATACAAACAAATAAGTCCGCTAAACCAACCATGATTATTTAATAATTTCATAACATCAAACTAATGGATGGTGACTTTTCTCTTGTTTGTTTTTGCTTGATTTAGAACATGTAAATCAAATAGAAATCCGTCGTTTGTTTTCAATCTGTTAGCACCAAAGTTGAAATATTCAGATATTTCATGAACATCAAAAGAAACCACATAAAGCTATCAAGGGACCTATTTAATACACCCAATGGCTTCCAACGTTGTAACTTGTAAAAGATATCTGGACTTTTATTATGAACACCCTCAAAAAATTGAAAAACAAAAAATTTTGAAGAAAAAAAAAATTCTCTCCTGATATTTCCAAAAATTTTGTTGTGAACATTTACGCAAAAAATTAATAAATATGTAGATATTTATATATATATATATATATATATTATAAATAAATACCTCTAAAAAAAATCGGACCTGTACTATTTGTTATATGATAACTAATTTTTGCTGCAGATAGATTAATTAATACTCAAATATCACAATTATGTTTAAGGAAATAATATGTTTGTAGACATGAATCTGTAATACTTAATATTTAAAAAAAAAATTGTATTTTCAATAAAAAACAGTATCTTTAAAATAAAATTTCTTTTATAGAAAATTATAACTAACCCATTAAAATTTTAAAAATAGGATCACAAAAGAAAAATGAGAAAAAATGAATTGTAACATATTTATAATTTTCAGCAACTAATGATTTTTCAGCCACTAGTTTAGAAATATTCATTTATATATACTCACAATCTTTAAAAAAAAAAAAAAGATTTTTAAGTACAAGTAATTGTAAACAATATAATATTATTTTAATTACCAACAAATTAAAGTAGTGATATGAAGAGGGTTTGATCCCCAAATTTAAGGTTTTGAGCTAAATTGAATTACTTGTAGCCCAAATGTAAGCCCAATACCATATATAGGGAAAGAACAAAGAAAAAAATGGATATTGGGCTGAACAGAACACAGCCTAGCCTTGAATCCATGATGGTAGCGTCAAACATTTTACCTTCCTCTATATTTTGTGTTTCTCATGATTTATCTTCTTATTTCAAGATTCCAACTTGAGAGTTTTGTAAAAAAAAAAAAAAAATTCAAATCCTAACTTTTTGGGTGTTTTCATAGACAACATTGTGATCTTTTCCTAAATAACAACATATGTTTAGGTTAAGATGTTTGGCATCAAATGAAGCAAGCAATTAAGTATTAAAGACAGTTCAAAACAGCCTATATATATATATATATATATATATATATCCCCACGTGGATGGCATGAACCTTGAGAAAGATAGATTCTGCTGATGATGGGAAAGAATGATGTTCATGCACAATAGCTTCCCTCATGAATGCAATGGAGAAGTTGTTCTGTTGCATAATTCGTGAGTTTTGCCGTCCCATGAGAAAAGGATGTCTTCATTTCTAGTTTCACTTTCTTGTTTTTTCGTCATCATCATCATAATCATCATATATGTTTAACTTTCACCGTCAAGTTCATGCCCCTCGTATGATTCCCTATGGAACAAAGTTTTTTTTTTCATTATTTTAATTATTTTATGCACAAACAAAACCAAGCAAACCTTAATATTGAATTGATTTTTGTAATATGTAGTTGTAATAATGAAAAAAAAAATAGAGAAGGCGGCATATGCTTATTTGTGACTAATTATAATTTATTATTTTGTTTCAACTTTTGGGAAAAAGTCTTGGGACTCGAGAGAAAGGGTTGTAACAAAAAAAGGATGCTGGGGATATGACTTGGGACACACTGATCCATTTCCACATTAAGGTGGGAACCTTTATCAGGCCCTTTTTTTTCATTTTTTTTTTTTTGGGGGGGGGGGGGGGGTGTATTTCTAATTTCATGTGGCTCCTACTCCAAGAAAGTCTATGAATGGTGGCGGAACGGTCTTATAGTGGCTGTGGCTGCTGGCTGCTCTGCTTCCTGCCACTGATGATGAAGGTTCACTAGCTGAAACTTGAGCCGTTGATGCAGTGGAATCTGTGAGACTTTGGGAGCTGAGGAACTCTGACTGTTGCATTGCCATCATGTATGAAGAGTGGTGGTGGTGGGGATAGAAACCAGAGATTTGGGGTTCATCAATGGGCCTATCCCAAGATCTGGTCTGGCTGAACATGCCCATCATGTCATTGCTCTTGAGACCTGTTTTAAGTGTTAAACACGAACAGTTACAAAGAAGTAAAGAACTAGCAAACTAAAACAAGGACAAAACGTGAACGTAATGTTAAAACATATATATAAATGAGAAAGGTTGGAGTGAGTTGGATTGAATTTAAAGCAGCAAAAAGGTAAACGAAACGGTTACATCAGTCAATGTCTATAAAGCAATAGAATAAATGAACACAAAAATCATCAAATATGGTTCGGCTGTAAAAGAAAGAAAAGCGAATCATAAAATAGTAGTAGAAATTCGAGGTAGGTTTCCAAAAGGGGAACCGGTGAGAAACAGCACAGAAACCCAAATACATAAAACTGCATAATAAACACCAAAGAAGCTTGGAGAGTTAGGGAGATTATAAAGGAGACACACCAGGGAAGAAATCAAAAGGTGCCTGTTGTGCACAAAACCCATTGTGACGAGGGACCTCGCTGCTTGAGATTTCTTCTTTCCCACTGGTCATGTGGGATGAAATACTTGAGCTACCATTAACCCCACCATCAGCACCGTTGAAGGTTCCAAACTGATATTGGGAGATAATGCCAAGTCCTTTATTGGGGATATTGAGACAGTATGGGTGTGGTTCTGCTCTTGTGGCTGCATCTGTGCAGACAAAGTTTGGATTTTCTTCCATCCTTCCATACACAGATTGACTCAGCTTCCGCCTCCTATAAGCAGTCGATTGTTCTCTATACTTCCTAGCCATAATCACATGCCAATGGTTCTTGACTGCATTATCAGTTCTTCCAGGGAACAGCCTCGCTATCATTGCCCACTTGTTACCGTAAAGCCTATGAGCTTGCATTAGCCTCTCTTCTTCTTCTTCAGTAAAAGCTCTTCTATTGATCCTAGGGTCCAACTGATTAAACCATCTTAGCCGGCAGCTCTTACCTTCAAACCCATGAGACAAGAATCAGAATGTGTGAAACCTTAGCAGTTACCACTGTGATTCTAATATACTGTAAAAGATGTCACGAAAAGAGATGTAACAACAAAATGGAAAGTGGGAAAAGTTTTAATGAAATAAAGAATAGAATAATACTGCTTTTGCCACTCTTTTTTACCACTATCATACCTGATCTTCCTTCCAACTTCTCTGCTATAAGGTTCCAGTTCTGAGGGCCATAAAGAGCTACAAGTTCCTTGAGCTTAGTATCTTCTGCAGGCCTCCAGTGGCCTCTGGCACAAAGCTTTGACTGCCCACTATCTGTTTCCTTGCCACTTACCGCATTCTGATTGAGATTCTCTTCATTTGAGTTGGCATTGAGATTAATGTTCCTATTATCATCTCCAAACCCATCACTGCAATCAGAGCCCTTACGCTCCACAACATCAGAGCTGTGGTTTTCCTCAAAGCTCCTTGTTTTGCAATTTCCCATGAAATGAAAACCCCAATAAACTCTTTCATTTTCTACCTCTGACCCCTTGCAAGCATAACTATCCTGTGAGGAAGAAACACTGGAGCCTACCATACCATAGTTTTGACCAAGGGAAAGAGAACCCATGTCTGGGTAAACCATCCCCATTGAAGAACGAGGAGAAGAAGAGGAAGGAGTGGAAGAGTGACAGCTGAGTCTATTCATGTTGTCTGGTGATATATAACATACTTGTGAGCCACGCCTTCATTTCCTCTTCTGACAAATGCTGTTATACAACTGTTACAAAGTCATGTTGCGCAGATAATTTTAAAATAATACTATGAGAAGAAGGAAACTAAAAAAGGGTGGGATGCGTAGGACTAAAACAAGAAGCAAGTTAGACAAACAATGAAAGACAGGAAAAGTGAAGTCATGCAGTGGCTGGGAAATGAGTGGAACTTGAAACAGCAAAAACAGCTATAGGATGTGTAAGAGAAACCTAAACGGCTGAGTTCACCTTTCTTTACTCATCTGCCTACAAAAAAAGTGTCTAAAAAATAGTGCTTGAAGTAGTTAACCACCCTGACTGATCCTGACTGACCCCCTTAACTCAACTAGTTTCCTATTAGTATCTTTTTCCTTCTTTTCTTTTCAACAAATCCAACATCATTCCCACGTGTGTAAGCTTCCTCTTTCCCTTCATTTTTTTCTCTCTGATGGGTATGAGGGTTCTTAGACTGTCCCTCTCTATATTGACAAGAAAGACTTCATAATGCGATGTGTGTAAGCTTGGGTTTGTGCAGGTCTAGACACGCCTTTCTTTTCAATGTAGAAAATTGAGAGCTTGACACAGCAGGCCCTGTCAAACCTAGCCCTCCATCTCTTTCAGACATCAATGCCCTATACATTTTTGTTTTTTGCTTGGTCTTTCCCTCTTTTAACTTGAGGATTGGGTTTAACCTGGGTTTCAGTTAACCACCTGAAGTTGACCCAACAACCAAACCCCCCAACCAAGAATTTACCGGATACTTGTCCTTTCCTTTCCCAACTAATTATAACAGTACAAAAATGCCATTGCCTTAACGTCATTTTAATGACTTTATCCCTAACTCCCCCACCTCTCCTTCTCGTCTTTTTCACCTGGCCTTATTTCTGATATCATTATTAGAAACAAATATTCTACTAATTGTTTAGATTCAAACATGAAAAGGGTATTCATTCTTTTTCATAATTAATCACTAATTTAATATGGTACATATAAAAATGCTTTGCATTTATATGGTCGAGTTTAATTTATATGAATCTGTTGACCTTGAGCTGGAAAACTTCAAGTTGTTTCACCTTTTTTTCACGGTTTTACAAGACTGAACAGTAATGAACACCAGAAGAGAATAAGAAAAGAAAATGGAAAAGAGATTTTAAAGAGCTGGTAGATTTAAGCTAACTTTCTCTGAATCTTTAAAAGCCACTACCTTTTTTTTTTGCTTTCCTGATGTATGTACGTTGCATACATGTCACTATGTCAGTAATGTGATGGATCAGAAAATTGGATGGTCATGAATTTTCTCATTTTGTACATCTGCTTTTCCTTTTAAAAGTTAATCGACTCCGAAATGTTAATTTTAACAGATTAATAAGGTCGGAATCATCAATTGTTGCAGAATTAAACAGTCGGTTGAAGATTGAGAAGTCTGTTTTACAGTAATCAGCAGCTGCTGCCCACTCTGTCATGAGTCATGGCCTGTAAGAAATTAAAAAAAAAAAAAGGCTTTTTTACCATAAAATTCCACAATCCAGGGCTCCCATTTTCATACTCAGTTTTTTGCCATTAATAGTTCAAAGGGTGACTTTGTGGAACCTATAAATGGGAAACAACTTTTTTTTTTGACAGTTTCTGATTACTTCAAAGATGCTGATGAGTCAGATCAGTGAATGAAGTAACTTCTGATATAGTAACATCTTGGGCACATTCAAAAGAAAACCTCAATCAAACCAGTCAAAAGCGTGAGCATATTTCCATGTAAGGAATGTCATTTACCTTTACCCAAAATAATGTGAAAAGACCGATTAATTTTTACATGCTAGAACTAGCACTATACTATATAAATGCTTGGATAAATAGATGGTCCCGCAATTATTTCATTTTCTCAGTTTTCACTAACTGGAAACCTAATGATAGACCTTACATTTAATGTGATCACAGGGTAACTGGAATGTACTATTATTGCTGCTGATAGGGAAGAATTGGACAGAGTCACCGGTCAAAACTGACTTTATTTGGGAAAACAAAGCGAAGGCCAAACCCTAAAAATAGACATGAAAGAAAAGGTCTCTCAGTGAAGAGAGGTTAGAGTTAGAGACCCTTCATTTTTGCAGTTTACTTCTTATCTCAGTTATCTTATTTGTTGTTAACTCTTGTACCAGGGCAATGGGGTCCCAAACCAAGGAAGCAAGTTGGTATCCCTTACTGTGTTTTCCCTTCCCCTCCCTGAGAAACTCACTGCACTGCTTTTTTTTTTTTTTGGTCAAACACTGTACTGCTAATTAATAGTGGGCTTTTTTTTTTTTTCTACATCTTTGCATAGCCATAAGATTATAGGGTTGTCTTGATGTCATCATGACATTGGGAACTGGCAAGACAGTTCATTTTATTTTTGTCGTACTTATCAAATTAATTAACATCATTCAGAAACATACTAACAAACTGCTTTTTTTTTTTTTTAAGTAAACGAAGATATATGTAATTCTCGTCAAAAGTTAAATGTTATTGTTATGTTGCTAGAATATTAGATTTTTAATTTTAATAATTAGAATTTAAATTGTGATAAATTTAAATAGAAAACAATGTAATTCTTCGGAGTTGTGTAAAATCATTATCATCTGGCTTTCATGCACCAACAATGCAGCATGCATAACATATAAGTTGCTTGCTGAATGGATCACACAGCATTGGCAAAAAGGAAAAAAAAAGCAAAAAAATCCAAAATTATAGACAAGGAAATATCATCAATATTGGACAGTTATTTGTATCTTTCTTTGCTACCTAGGTAAGATTGACAGTTTAAATAATTAATAAGAATTTTATTTTTACCTAACAAAAAACAATTCCATAATTTTTTTTTCTTTCCTATCTTTTAGTATTGGAAAGTACCGTAAGATTCATTATAAATGCAAGATGATGCGGTTAGAACCATTGAGCTTTCAAATTAAACAATTATCAGAAGCATGTTTCAAGTACTCGAACAAGCTACAAGCCACATATTGGAAAAACCATGGGGGGTTCAGTGTTTTGAGATGAGTGTTTCAAAAGTACAGATAATGAAAAAGAGTTGGTGGTGAGTTGTGACATGCGAGACAAGGACAAAGGTAATTTGGGTCTTAGGAGAAGAAGGCAATGAACCCCTTGTTACCAAATTAAAAAAAAAAAAAAAGACGTTGTATTTTGAGGTAAAACAAAAAGACAAAGTATCACTTGGTCTCCAACTTTTCAGACACCATCATATGTATTCTAGTAAACCAGTGGCGGGTAAAAAATTTTGCAGTATTTTTGGAGAATATATTGCTATCATCATCATGCATATCAGCTCTCAGCTGATCAGCATTTCTTGCCCAAAATCAAAGCAAGCACTGAGCTTTCTTGTTTTCTTCTTCTGCATATTTGCACGTGTGGTCCCTCCTTTGCACGTGTGGAGAGCCATGCATGGATCTTTAAGACAGAAGGAGAGTTTTTTTTTTTTTAACATGAACTGACAATGTCACAAACATTAAACATAGAATGCTGCCTAGCTTTTTTGTCTTGGTGTCGTCATGTCACACGCGTTTGATAATAAAAGTAGTAAACAACATCAAACAATTTTTCATCCCTTCCTATTTGGATTTTGGGGATGGTTAGTTAGTTACCATAATTTGAGCACTGCGTAGCTTTTCCAAGCACTGCAAAGCAAGGACAAACAATAATGGAGATTGATTAAATACGGCACTCATAAACAGACAAGGGTTAGTTAATTGCATCCAGCAGAAGGAAATGGTTAACCATTCTAGTGTCACAGTCTTAAAAGTAAATCTTGAATTTCACATCAATTGTATATTAAATGCTCGTATCATCTTCATATTAATATAAAATCATAAAATTTTCTCCTTTCTCAGGATAATTGATATATGTGACTGTACTAATGGTGCATTTATACATTGCTTCACACTGTGATAATAGTCAGATAATTGGCTAATGGCCTTATAAATGAAGGAAAGAGAAGCAAAAAATTAAGAAAAATGAGATACAATGTGCTGGATCTATATAACTAACGTATGCATAGTCAAAGATGAATAATAATAAGTAGAAGAATTTGAATTTATTTTGGGAGTGTGCCATGGTTTCATGGAAGTGAAAAAAAAAAGGGACTTGATGCATGGGATAAGTGAATCTTATTAAGGTGTATTTAGACATTTTCATTAGAGATTAACCTTGATATCCAATCCAGCATTCTATACACTAAACACATGACTGTAATTTGGCTACTATTATCAAAGTATAAACCACTAGATGTATTTCAGTTTCCGAATGGAAAATTGATTGCAGAAAGGCCTAAATTTCTAAATGGACTACAGATACAATGAAAGAGAGGTGGTTGTCACATGATGTGAAACTTTCGATGAATATGTTGTTGATTTACCAAACCAACAGGCAAAAATGTTGGCTGAAGTAGTTGAGGGCAATGTGTGTGGGAGCTTCAGTAGTCCTAGAAAGAGAAGGTTTCTTGTAAAGAAGGGGGGATGGGGATGGGATCCCACAACACCCCAAGCACATGTGCTTCAGTTGGTTAATACCGAACATGAATTGAAGAAACATGCTTTTGGAATGACCCATGCAATGTAAGATGTGGAGATAGTTTGCCTAATCAATATTTTTTCTTCTTAGGGGTGGAGCCACCAACAATGCATGAAAGAAAGGAGGTCACAATTGGTTATATGGATGACCCACCATATAAGTAGTAGGGCTGATCCATAAGATTCTGTTGGGGGTGTTCCCTTGGAACCATATATGAAAAGCATGGCATGATGGTGGTGCACTGTTCCTCAAGGGGTACCCCATAGCCCCCAACAACAAGACAAATCCAACCAGTAGAAAAATGGGACTGCAATTAGCAAAGGCAAAGCATTTAGTTAATTGATTTAGAGAAAAAAGAAAAAAGGGAGAAACAAGGTAGACAATAGCAGACATCAAATGTTCTTGGCTTTACCCTTTCTTCTAAATTTGTTGGATATCAAGCATGGACGTCAGTTAACTTTGTCTGAGGGCTCAACAGCAGTTACAGCACCTTAGGATCCTTTGTCCATACTATGAATGTGAGAGATGTGACTTACTTCACTAATGGATGCAAAACTTATTATTTGCTAGGCAGAGAAAGTAAAACCCTAATTGAACCAAAATTTTGCCAAGACAAAAAACCCAAAATTTTATGTTTTTTAATCTGCATGAAAACGTATTTACTAGAACTAATTAAGAGAAAAAAATGTACATTTTGGCTGTACTAGCAAGTAATTATAAAGAATAATGTGAATTCTATCCAGAAATTTTCTTAAAATGTTTTTTTTTTTAATTAAAGTGAACGAAACTTACTCATTTTAAAATCAAACCAAATCTCAAATTTAAAAAAAAATTTATATTAAATTTATAAATCACTCGTTAAATTTTACAAGCAAATAGTATTATTTTCTTGGAGACAATTTCCAAGACTTCAGTCAGTCTAGGATAGCTGTAACTTCTGAAGACCCACATCTTAAAGGTGAGCGACGGATGCCTGTGCACCACATAAATGGTTCTGTTGCCGCACAAGGGATCAGAACATGAAATTGTACGTTAGTAAACAGAGTTGAAAGGTTAAAGAAGAAAACAAAGAACACCATACCAAATAAGATGACGAAGAATAAAGCAATATTGGTTTCATACTTCTTTACTTGGCTCCAGCCACCGGTCAAATTGGTTTTGGTCTCTACATTTATTATTCCATGATTGTTGTCATGGATTGAAGCAAAGCCTAAAGTCACCATAATATTAGCTCGCTTTGATACGTCAGTTTTTCACATGTACTCATCTGGCAGGTTACTTACAATTCACTTGATGAGCGTTGTATGCGAATCTCCACAAACATTGTCAAGCCAATCGATTAACTTCAAATAAACTTACAGATTATAATAAACCAACGAAAAATGTGAGACACGTTTGCAAGTATATATATATACACACACGATGTACTTGCAAATATACAGAGATAGTAGCATTTTACAACTCTCTCAAAGTGGCCATGGATTTAAGTTTTTTTTGTTCTTTTTTCTTTAACCAAGCAGATTAGAGCCATTGCTGCTTAAAACAATGGAGGTTGAAAGTGCAAAATGCAAAAGAATTAAGCGAAATGGGATTAAATGCATTTAAGTTGTAGCAGGATTCTACAACATGTGACAGCAGAACCTAAAATGAAGCCTACAAAAATAAACAGCTACGCAAATATAGTAAAATACTGTAGTAATAATTTGATACTGTAGTAGTGCAGGTAAAAAAGTTGTATAACTTAACCAAATACCAATAAAGTAGCAACAAGCTGAAGTCAGCAGGCAAAGGGGCGTTGGGGGAGAGGGATAAATAGGGGTTTCATAGACTGAAACTCAGTGAATAATTATCCAAAAGAAGGAGAGGGATATAAAGGAGACGTGATGCCCAAAAAAATGATAGTAAAAGGGTGAGGACTGAGGAGAGTTAGACTGTCCTAAGCCTTAACGGTCAGTAATACCATTCTGAAACAGAAGGATCAGAAACCAAAGAGAGCTTTAAAAAGATGTGACCTCATTGGGCCATTTTCAAAATTAATACTTTATCTAGTAAATATAGGTTTGTTTTCCAGACTCCCTTTTTTTAATGGTTTTCAGGAAAGAAAAGGTAGGATGGGGGGCGGGGTTGTTTTATTGTAAACCCATCAAAAAGAAAATCTTTTGACAGAAAGTGAGAAAGGGCAATCTCCCTCCTCTTTCTCTCTCTCTTTCTCACTGTTGCTCTCTATTCGGAGACCTGACTTGAATAGTAATCAGTACCAAGTGAAAAACCAAAGAGGCATAGTACAGAAAAAGCAAAGGATGACTGAGGGGGCAGGGTTGAGAAAAACAAAATAAGCTGCTATTAGTACTAATTATTTGCACAGTATTATCGAGAGCTGTAAGAAGTTAAGTAACTGTGCATATGGGGAGAGGGAAGAGAAAGGACAGGGGCCTGATTTTGTTTGAGATTTTCTTTCATTGATAGGGGAAGAGACACAGCTTTACTAACATAGAGGAATTGTCTGTACCTGATAGTTGTATTGAATAATTACTTAGCTTTTTTGCAACAGTGTTTAAACTCTATTATCTCCTTCCTCTCTCCCTCTCTCTCTCTCTCTTAGAGCAAAAAGGAACAAGTGATTGTACGTGTCCACGTGCGTAGACCCCTAATCGTGCTGCTCCAAACAAACAAAGCAGGCCCAACGGTTCATGGTCCTTTTGACACCGTACAATAAAGGCTTGTGCGTTGTGTCCACTGCGTCCATGCATAATTTTCAGACCTGGTATAGTGATTTTGACAAGGATATATGTTCGAATCCTAACATTCAACTTCCTAATGAAATTCCCCTTTTGCTTGTTTCAAGAACATCTTCATCTTCTTGCAATCTCGCTCCCAACACTTCTCTCCTTCCTTGACTAATTATTTTTATGATTTTTATTTTGTCATAAAATTTTGAAGCTATGTGAATCACCCTAGCAACAAAGCAACAGCTATGACAAACCAAAAAGTAGTTGATTCCTCTTTGCTCTACAAGGAAATGTGGGTCAAAACTAATAAAATTGCTCTCCCACGCCCAGGCACCGTTGCACATGGTGCTGTGACACTTATTAATTGATAATTGGCCCACTGTAGCCGAAGGTCCTTAAGCATTCTCGTTGGACAAATGAATGCCAACTTTAGATGTGGACAGAAAAATGGATTCAAAGCCAAGTTACCACTGGGGCCCTTAAGGCGGGAAGGTTGAAATGTGCACTGAACCGTTGCACTAGAGGGAACGTTTAGTCCTCATTGAACAATTAATTCCTATTTCCTACATTCACTTTGCAACCTTGGTAAAAGAAAGAAAAGTATGATTAAATCGCATGAATATTTGTTTTCATTATCGATAGTTGCCGCTTTGGAGGCAATAATAATTTCAGTTTTGTGCTCTGTTTCCCCATGACAGTATGAATGTGTGATGGTGGTTTGTGAAGGGGCTGCACTACTCGAAGATTCTCCTGACACAGAAAGAGCACATAACAACGAAATACCCATGAATGCCAAAGGAGAGATGACAAGTTTTCATGGATGCCAAGATATTAAGGGCAGAAATATTTCAGAACAGAAACTAGACAGAAATTCGTGTTACGGTTGATTGTCCAAATTACAAAAGAAACAACAAAACTAACTCGAGAGCACGATAAGCGTGTGCAACAGAGAGTTATGTGGCTCCCCAACTGTAACCAGTTCGAGTTCCCCATCACTAGGTGACAGCATATCATCATGTACTACTAATTGCTATGCAATTGCAGTGAAATAAACCATCATTTAGTTAACAGAAAATTACAGCAACATTCTTATGCATCGAAGCATGGATATGGCAAATTTCATTAAGTAGAGTTTTTGTGCATATGGACAAATATGAATGGAAGAACGAACAATAAGAGCAGATGACAACTATTCTGATTCCACCGAGGATATGGTACATGCTTTTATATGCTTTATATAAACTAAGCAAATGGCCATCTAACCAATAGATTTCATTATGGTCAAAGTTCAGAAGCCCATATCACTCAGACTGGTGTCCATTAAAGACAAAATATATCATGAGTCATGACAAGAAATCTAATTATACAAGTTTTATACAGAAACCAGTTGTTTATTAACAATTAGAAAATATGCAAGAAATAAAAAGATAAACCTTCTGAAATGCATTATATTAAGTTATAGACATTGTTCTCATTGTAACGCGAAGTGGCAAGCTCCAGAGTTCTGCAAGAGTCTTATCTATGATGCACAATCAAAAATGGCTGAAAAGAACTATGTTGAAAAATCAAAAGCTGTGTGAATGTGAGAGGAAGATAAAAAGTAAAGATGAACAAAAAGCATAACCGACTAAAAAAGAAGAGATCCATTGATTTCAAATAATGTTCAGCTTTAAATCAATTGGACTCTTTCCTTAGTGTTTGCAAACTTTGCATATCCTTTTATTCTTCTTCCTGATGTTTGTAATGGAGCAAAACTTAAACTGCCTCTCTCATAGTTTCGTTTTCCATAAAACAAAGAAATTCCAAAAGCTTAGCAATTTCATCGGTTTTTTATAAGAATAAGACTAAAGTTTTTTTTTATTTTTTAGTGCATGTGAACAAGGCCAAGAGAAGAAGGAAAACTACACTGTGGACCTTGATCCTCTGTTGGACAGAAAACAACCACTAGCAAAGCCTGGTTTGCTATAATACATATCAAGCCAGATCTGTGCCACATACTTCAGAAAATATTTAACCGCACTTTCAACAGATTTCACCCTTTTGACAAACTGCAGGTATTTTAACTCTATTGCTCCTTGTAATCCCTCAAGCCCAAGTATCCTTTTGACACACTGCAGCTATTTTAACTCCATTGCTCCTTGTAATTCCTCAAGTCCAAGTATCATCTAAGTACATTCTAGTATTTCCAGCATGGTAAAATCCCAAATTGATAATAGAGCAGAAGCCACCTTACCATGAATTGCCTCATATCTGTCTGTCATACTAAGAGGGTCTCCACATCAATTGCAATCAAGTCCTGTATTAGAAGCCCATGAAATATCTAAGGCACCACCTTCAATGTAAACCAAATTGCCCTCCAAGTAGAAAGTACCGTAATGACACAAGCCAAAATTCCTAGCAATGATAAAATGAAGCTAATAAATAAAAGCAGAAACCAAATGATACGTCATTGTACTTATCCTGTCAGATCAATTAGTTGCTACTAGCAAAGTATTCTTTGCAAATTAATCATGTGGAATAGTAGTTTAGAGAATATCTAAAGCAACGTGACTGTCAAGTGCCAACAAACTATGCTTATCTAAAGGACAAAGGCTCCCTGATTCCTATAGTTTGGGGACGGGGGTGGCAAATAGAACTGCCAACGTGCAAACACCCCAGAGAAAAAAGACAAAGAGAAAGGTTAGACTACACCACTGTTATATAAAGAAAGTAACAAAAAAGAAAAGATCCAAACCAAAAGACGATGAAATCTCTTCTACAATTGAAAGGATACAACTAGTAACGGTTGGATATGGAAATTGAGAAAGGCAGTTTAGTCAACAAGCTACTCTTATGTAGATGACAGGCAATCAGTAGCAAAGTCAAGGTTTTCTACTCAGGGCTCATTACGGGGATGACAGTAATGAGCACGAGAAAATTTCATGGGAGGGAAGGAGTGATGATATCAATTTAAGCTTTTAGTTCCCAAATGACAACCTAGTTGTTCTCTTTGCTTCTAACAGCTTTCAAGAACTACAATTAGATTTCCACTTGAACTTTGAAAAGGAGGCAAATAAGATGATTTACAGGCATACCAGTTCTAGAAAATTTCAGTCAAAAATTTTAATCGCAGCTTGAACTCTTGCTTATCTCTTTGCTCACACATTTTATGACTTAGCAAATCCACCCCATGCTTACGGCTAACTTCAGCCCTATTAACAACACCATTACACCCAAGATCAATTAATAGTTGAATCTAAAGAGACAGTATAAAATCGTTAAGGAGATGGTCAAAGTAGATTTTTGAGCACTCTTTGAGAGCTTAGTACCATTACTGTTGCAAATGTGGCACTAGCCATTGCACAAATTTACCAAATTCAATCTCAGCAATGGCAACTACATGTCAAAATGCTTCTTGTACTTTATCAATCCTTGGGTCTCTTGATAGTTGATATGGTAATAGTACAGTCATTTTCCTTTGGAGCAGCAAAATTTAGAAATTTGGAACTTAATTAAAAACACCTTGTCTGTTTCACGGTGGATTGCAAATTCCTAGGGTGCTAGGACATTAGACTGATCAACCACTATGAGATAAAAATATGATACAGCACCCAAAAAAGAAAGAGTTTATCAGCAAATGGCTGAAATGTCATCACAGTACTTCCCACTCTCTACAGATTAAACCCTTATACATGGAGGGCATCTTAGAATTCCATAAAATTTTGTCCAAATCACAGCAAAACATGTTCTCTAGAATATCTTCAATATGGGGGAAATGTAAAAACACTGAACCTCAAACATTCATGCATAAACAACTTAATTGACTAAAAGGCCTCGACAAAAACAACTCAAGACTTTTTTTTTAATCATCGAATTAAGCTTTAATTTGCACCTGCTACATAAGATTCAAATCTCCTACATAAATAACACAACAAAAATACACATTCTTCAATGGCAACCTAGTAATTATGAACAATTTTCCAATTTTTTACCATCAAATTAAGAACAAAAAAAATGAAATAAACTTAAAAGAAGGAACTTACAGCAAAAAAGGCTATGTCCTTTGAACTCTTTGCAATCGCATCTCAATCAATCTAGCATTAAACTCTCCATCACTAACCTTTAACATCTTCGACAATGGCAACTTAAACCCATGTTCCACCAAAGCTCTATGCCTTGGCTTAATCTTTTTGTCTAAACTAAACGAAAAATACTGAGGAAACCTTTTCAATTCCTCCAATTCACCTTCCATTTCCTCCAAGAAAAACTTAACTTTAGGCTTCATATTATTCTCTAAACTCAAAGTCAACAGCCCGGGTGACCTCACCACCATCCGGTTCACTTCCGGCTCGTCAAAACCCAGAGATTGGAGGAAGTTAAGTTTGGGTTTCAAGGTGTTTTCCACGTTAGAAGCTAAGAGAAGGGTGGTACGGCAATTCAAAACAAGGCCGAGGGAAGTGAGGAAACGCAGAGTGGGGCGGAGTTGGGTGGCGACGGAGGAGAGTAACAGGCGAGGGCAACGGGAGAGGGAGAGAGGGAGGTGAGGGAGAGGGAGAGGGACTTCCTGAAGGAGGAAATTGATGGGGGGTAGAGGGTCGGAGGTAAGGAGTAGAGGGTACATGTCGAGGATACGACCGATGGAAGGGCGAGAGAGACCGAAGGAAGAGAGGGAGACTTCCAGGGAAAGGAGAGAGGAAAGTGGGGTGGAACGGAGGGAAGGGTTTTGGTTGAGAGCTTTGTGGGGGTTGATGTTTAAGGATTGGAGGTAGAGCAGCTTTTGGCGGAAGAGGAGGCCGCCATCTTTGGTTGTTGGTACGGCGGTGGATGTAGGCTTAAGGAGGGTTTGGGGAGGGAGTTGGAGTTTGAGACCACAAGTTAACATTTTTTTCGATGTGGATGAAAAGAAAATTTTTTCTAAATTTATTTACATATCTATAAATTTAAGGTCATGCCACGTGGGATCAAAGTTATTTATTTATTTAATAATTAAATAGTTAATTAATTTTTAAAAATATTTCTTAATTAGGTATATGTCAATTTTTTGAAGTAGCAAATCTTTTAATTGAATAATCATTAAAAAGATTAATCAAATTCTAAAATTTTTACTCTTAATTATACACATAAATAGATATTTGTCCTACATGAAAGCAAAAATATTGCTACGTAACATTTATCAATGAATTTCCCTTCCAAATGGCATATTAAAGAAAATATGCAATAAGAAGGACAAGACAGTAGTTTTGTCCAAAACAAATGAGAAATTGAATTTGGTTTGGTTTTGATAGTTGTTATGGCGGGGGCAAAGGAGAGGAGAGTTGGTTGGGTGTCTGACGATCCCCTATTCTCAAGCTCGTTTCCCACGACCGCTTTTGCCGCTCACCCGGTCGTGTTATGCTCATCATTTCACGCCTCTCTCTCTTTTTGTGCCCTTGGGTTCTCTCTTCTTTGGCTGAATAATCAACCTATCACCCCCACCCCTACTTTAAGACTTTTGGATCATGCACGTTCAACTCGCTGCTTGATTTTTGCTCATTTGGGTATGCCTTTTTTCTTGTTTTTATTCTTAATTTCTTCTCTACTTCGCCGTGGCTTTGATTCTTGCAAATGAACCCAGAAAGAAAAAGAAGGAAAAAGACTTGATATTTACATGAATCTTAAAGTGGTTTTTTTTCTTTTTTATTTTCTGGGTTCACTTAGTTTGATCATGTTTCTTTCATCTTCTATAGTCATATTATTAGTAAAGTTACATTGTTTTCAGAGATTTTGATAAACCCCATTTCTAGTTGTGCCAAAGAAGGTGATTTTATTGTGCTTATCACATGAATTTCATTAATTTATAGATATTCTATGGTGTTTTTTTTTTCTTTTCTATCATAAGGAGTTATTTTGTGAATTCTACTAGTTTCAATCTTACATGAGATTGATGAGACTTCAACGCTAAATTATGAGAATTTGAATATGCAGGATGGGAAGGGTTAAGCTAAAGATAAAGAAGTTAGAGAACACAAATGGCCGTCAAGCGACCTTTGCCAAAAGGAAGCATGGTATCATGAAAAAGGCTAATGAGCTATCTATCCTATGTGATGTAGAAATTATCCTCCTTATGTTCTCCCCAACTAACAAGCCTTCCTTATGCATTGGGAAGCGCAGGTAGGCCATTCATAATTCGTCCTTTTGCATATAGTTCCGTTTTTATTGGTGAAATTATAGGGGCAGCTCATATTTAACTCCAAAGAGGATTGATTTGGCATCAAATTGACATTAGTATAGTGCATGTAGTTCTTTACCTTTTTCTTTTTTGAAAAGAGATCTGTCAAAAGTTAATTAAAGGGTTGAACACTTTCAAAATTAACTAAGATATTGATATATGTTGATGCATTAACAGTTTTCAAGTTCTCTGAATTAGACTTTAGATAGCTTGATAAATTTGGTTATTTAGGCATTGTGCAGAGAAGAGAAAAATATGGAACCACAGGTTGCTGATAGAAACAATGTTGATAATTACAAAAATTTGATCGTAAGGAATGCCATATTCAAAAGGGGCAGGCTGGTTTTATTTTCCTCTTAGATTGCACTTGATAACTTGAATTTGAAAGAAGGGATTTGGATGCTACATTTTGGCACAATAGTCAGGCATTGTATAAATACAAAATATTTGTTACTGTTTCTTATGAAATGTTCATATACACAAAATCAACTAATTGCCGTAAATTAGTTTTGGCTTTGGGAGACACATGATTAGGTGCAAATTATGCTAAGGTGTCTGAGATATTATGATTGATGTAGGCAATGCTGATCCATACATGGTACTGACGTGAAGGAACTTGAGAGATTGCTTGTGATTGGTTGCACAACTATTTTGATTTAATTTTCATATATGATAGATGTTTTTCAAAGCAGTTTTGGTAGTTTAGATTTATGTAGAAGGCTATTACCTATAGTAGCAACATTCATATATATATATATATATATATATATTTATTTTGTTTTGTGAATTCAGCAGCATTGAGGAGATCATTGAAAAGTTTGCTCAACTCACTCCACAGGAACGGGCAAAAAGGTGCGGTCTAATTTTTTGAGTCAAAAAACCACATTGCTAATCTTCATACTTAAGAGTTTAATTCTATACATTGTTGAAGTGGAATTGACTCACATTTTCTTTTCTATTTACTGGAACAGGAAGTTGGAAAGCCTTGAAGTAAGTCCCTTCCTACAGTCCATTCTCCTTTAGTGATATTACTATCTTTGTTTTCTTTTATCAAATGATTTTGGTGAATGAAATGTCATCAACCTTATCAATTACATAATTTGTCTTCTCTTTGAGAGTCTAGGCATTGAAAAAAACATTCAAGAAGTTGGATCATGATGTAAATATTCATGAATTTCTGGGTACAAGGTACATGACAATCTTCTTCTTGTCAGCTCAACTCCTCCTAGTAAAATTTCTTCATTTGATTATATTCTACAAAATATTTCTAATAGGATTATGACTTTTTCTTTTTTTCTTTCTTTCTTTCTTTCTTTCTTTTTCCCCAGTACACAAACAATAGAGGTATGTATGCTTGATGACCTGTTACCTTAATCTATTATGATAATTTAAAATTCTTAGACCATGTTGTTCATCATTCTAACATGCTTTTTGTATGTCCATAATTTTTGTGGCAGGACCTGACTAACCAAGCAAGGTTATTGCAGACTCAGCTTTCTGAAATTCTTAGGAGACTGAGGTGAAGCTTTTGAATGTAGAGTTTTATTTTTGTCTCTTTGTTATTAATATCCTTTAATGTGCTATCTTTGGTCTTAACTTGTACTAATATTGATATTGGCTACTCAGCTGTTGGACTAACACAGTCAAGATCAACAATGTAGAACATTTGAGGCAAATGGAAGATTCACTCAAGGAATATCTAAATCAAATTCAGGTCCATAAGGTATGCTTATCATTTCCCTAAGTAGTTAGGTCTTTTATAACAAGTGATAGAATGCCCTTCTTGGGGCATGTGACGGAGTTTGCTTACTTAACCAAGCCAAAAAAAAAAGGAAATGGATAACCATTTGCTACTAGAATTAGAATGATGAAATTTCAAAGCACTGTGCAGATTGAAAACTACATGAACTTTTCATCTTCTCTCTAAAAGCTCAAATAATGAGTGCTAAATATGTTTTTACACTTTAGACTCTTCCTTATCTACCTTCTTTTGGCAGGAAAATCTAGGAAAGCAGCAGCTTCTATCGTTAGAATGCACAAGTCAGGTAAGAATGTGCGATGGGCTTGGAATATTTCCCTGCTCAGTTTTCTCTTTAAAGTCGCGAGAAATTAGTATCTGAACCAGCCTTTTCTTGCAGCTCCAAAATAAAATGCATGTACCCCTTGGAATGAGCATTGAGCAACAGCTTCAACATCTTGCATGGATGCCTAATAACGACAGGAGACACATGGCCTTATCAGAAGACCCTAATTTGATTCCCCTCAGGTGAATGGACTTCCTAGAAATCTTAATTCTACTAAAATTTCACTGATCTGTATTATTGTGATAATCTTGTTTTTCTAGAAAAATGAAACAAAAAAGCAAATCCCTAATTTTGGATGGAAGATTTATTTCAAAAAAATACCTATTTTTTAAAACATGACATGCATATCTTAGAATATATTAGAGCACATAAAATGCTCCGTTAATTAGTAATAGTTAATATATTAATATTTAATTCTTTTTGTTACCCATACAAGTTGATGAAAAAGGCCTTCCACAATGTATTATGATGTTGAATTGTAATTCCCAGGGATGTGGAGTGTTCTGCAAGTTCCTCCTTTGGAAGTTATTCGGGTTACTTTGGCACTGCTAAAAATTCTGAACTTTCTAGTTCTGGACAAGAAAATGGCATCCTTAACAATTTGAGTGGAAATGCATCATCACAGCTGCAACTAGGTGGACAATGCCCCTTCTCTTACAATCTTAATATACTGAATGATCCTATATTCCCTCCAGTGGCAGGGATGAACTTCCAGGAAACTCCAGCAGATTATCATGTTAATGGAGCTCTAGAAGGTCCTAGAGCTGGATATGACACTACCCAAGGTAGTTGGGCTTCCACTTCTGGTCCTTGTGCTGTTGCCATGTTTGATGAGCCATTGTATTCCCGAGTAAGTCTTTCCCCATTACTCCCACCATGCTTTCAATTCTTGAGCAATGTTGCTTGAGTCACCAACTATTTTATCTGCAGCTTCAACACGGTTGAGCAATCCAATGGTTTATACATGACTCTGTATGCATGCAAATATATGTGAATGAGTGGAAGAGGCTGAAGAATTTTTTTTGTTCCGCTTTGCTTGTTATTAATTCTTAAGTTTTTGCATGATGTAAATTAGAAGCAAAGAAGCAGAAAAAAAGAAGAGCAGAAAAATGAGCTATGAATCTTTACTTTATAGTGAGCATTTACCAGCTAAGAGCGTTTATTTAGAATAAAAATTGTTCCAAGGAAGATATTAGAAGCCATGGTGAACTGTTTACGCTATCTGTTTAACTGCCCTTTATTTTCATTGTTAATGCCCAATGTTGGAATTATCACGATATTATTTGAGAACAATATATAGGTCATAAGCTTGAATTAAATTTCTTCATTCAAGGAAAGTTTATATGAAAGAAGGATTGTTTCAAAGTATGGATTATTAGAAGCTATGGTTGGAAAGTTACGTAATCACCTTCATGGAGGACAACTATTTGGGGCTTTGGAAGTATATGCCATTTTCTTGCTCTAAACTATTTTCTATGATAATGCTCATTCTCCTAGGATTATAAGAAGAGCACATGAGATTTTTGTTAGATGGCAAGCTACTAGATTAAGTGATGGCATAATTGACTATCCTTCTGTTCATCAGATGTTCCTATGTTCAGGTTTTTTGCACTATTTTCTATGTTAATGCTCATTCTCTTGGGATGATAAGAAGAGTACATGGGATTTGTGCTAGATGGCAAAAATGACTATCCTTCTTGTTCATCAGATGTTCCTATGTTTAGATTTTTTAACCTGACGACAAGATATTAATTCAATTTAAGCCTTTATTGGCCTGTCAAATGCTTTTAAAATAAGTGCCAATAATTCAGTATAGAAAATGGACGTCTGGTTGACACTTGCTTATGCACAACCTTGATCTTTGATGTGAAGTAGTTTGTACCAATAGCCAGTACTGTCTCTCTCTTTCTCACCCACACCCACACAGACATAATTGCATATGTTTCTTGACATAAATCATGCTAACTGTTTCTTCAGTAATTGAAACCTCCATTTATTTCTTATACATGTACTGGTTGTCTGTTGCAGCAACTAAACTGAGGTGCAGAAGACTGATGCTACCATTCATCCCATCCACTGAGCAGGCTATGGAGAACTTGGTAATGTGCATGTGAAATTCACCCAATCCTCGGAAATTTGACTAAATATTTCACAATGGTTTTCACTGCCAAGCTAAACTTGGAATCGGCCAATGAGATGTATAGCACAACTACACAACATAGGAATTGCCTTAATAGTGATAAACTGCAGAATCGAGTGGTGCTGACCCCAACCAAATGAGGCACCACGTTTCTGTTATAATTTCTGTATACTAATCATTTCTACTAGTAGTAGTAGTAGGTTTTCTTGACCTATTTTTGCCTTTACCTTTTGATTATTAGGGTTGCTAATGGCATTCACTGCCTTCCCTGTCAATTTTATGCTGTAAATAAAACAAATGTAGCAAAAAACATTGACTGTAAATGAAAAAAAAATATTAATTATAGTAAATCCCTGTCAATTGCAGAAGTATAGTTGAGATAATCTATTTCTATAAAAATCACTAATTATAGTACTCTTGACTATAATTAGACTTCAGAGAGAAACTAGGCAATATTGAGTAAGCATTAATCTCCTTTATGCAATTCGAAGTTGATACCAGGTGGCATTAACTGTAGCATCTCTGAGGGCATGAAAGCATCTTCTTAACAGAGTCTATATTGAAATTGACATAAAAATGCACGGACTCAACAATGTCCGGAGATTGGGACATCACCCCCCCCCCCCTTTCCCCACCAAGCCACGCTGGATCACACTACTTTAAAACACCAAGATTCTCTAATGCAATGAAATGCCTCTTAAATCTTCTACAATCCAGACAGGATTCATACCACGTGCTGGCCAAAGCCTACGAGGACAAGAAAACTTCGACATGCTAATCAAAAGGAGGTGGTAAAATATTAGACATTTGATCAAAGCAACATCTCCACAGATCAGCTGGATTTTGATATGGTAGTGACTTTTTGAATGAAAAAGACATCCGGAAGCCATGTTTAGGGACCCTGGTAAAGTTTTGATGATGCTCAACTGTCTATATAGTACAACAGTTGGAGATTAACAGTTCAAGCAACATGAATCATCATGGCAATAGTGGAAAAGTCAGTGTATCGATTGTTTGGGAATGGGCTTCAGGAAGAGCCTGGTTCAAAGGTCCAAAGTGAATTTGGGAGTAGCCCATGTCTTCTCCGCTGATGGCAAAGCACATTTTGAAATCCAAATTTTATCTTTAAAAAAAAATGTAAAAGGCAAGCATTATCTATTTTTTCTTGTTTTGTAGTAAGCTAGAAAAAGATATGGTACCTCAGGTTCACCCAATAACAACATTACACGTAATAAGCATAATATGCGGCGACTCACATGGGCAGCTGTCCGAAGATCCGTGCCGAACTGATCACGACTTTGGTTGTCAGACGTAAAAAAAATATCTATCGTTATCGTTGTCCGATAAAACGGGAAGGGAAAAAAAAAAAAGACACCAGCCGTAACCGTAGGAAAACCAAACAATAGAAACGTTCTGAAGCCACGTCAGCAAGTTGTCGTGGAGACCGAGAAATCGTCGATAAGTTAATCAAGAGACATTCACGTGGCTCGAGATTGTGTCACGTCAACCTCACAGTATGCACCAGAGATAGAGTAAGAGTTGACCCATCAATCACCAATCTCAACATGATTTTTTTTCTTTTTTTTTTAATTCTCAATTATTATTGTCGAATTTAAAAATTATTTTAAAATTTCATTTGCAAATTTCGCTTGTAATGCCTCTACTGTTTATAAAGTGTAAAGCTAGCGTAAATCAGAAGAAAATCGGATAAAATATTTCAATTTGATTGGTTTGGAGGAAAAGGTTGCTTATAGAGAAAGAAAAGAAGATATAATTGAAGTACTTTGAATAGTTTTTCTTTTTTTTTTTTTTGTTGGAAAGGAATAATTATTTTCACTCTTCCTTCCCATTTTCCACCACAAATTTTAATGATTAATATAATAATGATAAAGAAAAAAATTTAATACTATCACATATATTTACTCTTTTTTCTCCTGTTTTTCAATTTTTACCGTGAAATTTTAAAACGACTTTGATAAAAATAAAACAATAAATAAAATTTCTGAGAAATTTTCCGGTTGCTTCAGGTCATTATCTTCTCTCAAGCATACGATGTCTAGTCGAAGTAATTTAAATTTTAATTAACAAATAATTATATAAATTAATTAAATTAAATTTTAAAATTTTTAATTATATTATTTTCGGTTATGTTAAATTCGCTGTAATATACATTCTCACAAATATGGGCATTTGAGATTGGTTCTATTGAAGTTTAAAATCAATATGTGTATGGTAAAAAAATAACAATAAAGATATTTATTTGTCTTACTTTGAAATTCAATATGATAGTAAATAAATAAAGAAGCCAAGATATTCGAAGTGTTAAAGTAGATTCTTTTTATTGGAGTCACGTTATGCAGCAGATTTGAAATCCTGGAAGCAAATCTCGAGTGAAAGAGACGGTGAGGTAAGGGACAAGCAAGCAAAGAAACACTGATATGAAATGTCATCCAATTCTTTTCCACAGTCCAGAAACCAACCCTGCATCTACTGCAACACACAAAGTACAATGGACAGATAATAATTTGTTCTATTATTCGTAAATTTTGTTCACATATTATTTATGTTGTTTGATTGATAGGATTTGAATTTTCAAGTTTTTCATCTCTAATTTTCACAGAAGAGAATGAGAAATTTTTTTCTTGCTCGGTTGGCTTGGAACTGGGTGTGATAAACAGGAGGCTTGGTGGCTATGCAGCTTGAAACGCAGATTCCATGTGAGAGAATTTAATGCATGTCACTTTCTCTATAAATGCCAAGAAAATATTTAGTGTAGAAGAATTTAACCAGTCACCAGAGAGTAGAGGAGACAAATTTTAAACCATTGCCATTGGAATTAACTGATTCTCCTTTTGACATGTCACCCAAATTTCATCAGTCTGAAGAATTTGAACTCTATGGATTTGTGAGTTCTCCAAAAACTGCTAAACTTTTGCATGCATTGGCATTTTGGGTTTCTTTTTCACAAATGGATTGCAATTTGCAGAGCAACAGCCAGCGTCGACTTGTGGCTAGAAATTGCTACTACAAGAATTCTGAATTTTGGTTAAGACTATAAGCTAAATGTCCTGAACTGAACTTGGACAGTTAGGTGAGCCAGTTGATGTGTGCCAGGTAATGAAGCTCCCAACTAGTGCTCAAAAATTGGTCCAAATAATGAGTCTTGCTCGCCAGGAGCTGGATTATCGGTACTTTTAGCTTTCGGAGTGATTGGCATCATCGTTTTGACAGCAGATTGTGCAAACATGTGGTATTTTTATCATGAGCAATTAAGGATAGAAATGATAAACCTGGAATCATAACAAATCAAGAGTTTACTTTCCATTACTAGTAGAAATTGCAAATTTACAAACTACTGTCACACAAACAAAAGCCTAACACATACTCAGCCAAAGCTGATCAAGGTGACCTTACAACAGATGCTTCTCAACATCTCAAAGGAGGAAAAAGAGGACCTATTACTAGTGGCGGGTGGTTAAAGTCCACCTCTGCCAGTCTCCTGCTTCACTAGAACAGAAGGAAAAATTACTATTACAATAGGGATCCCTTAAATGGGACATACTACCCCAAAAATAAACTAAACCCAAAATGATAAAAGGGCTATATAAAATAAGCCCTTATCATTTCTGACCCAAGAGGCCCAATATTTGGTCCACATAAATATAGTATAATCTACTAGCTGGGTATACTAAAAGGTCAAGCTAGTTAATACTATTTTGGATGGTGGGTATATTAAATAAATAGACTAAGACAATAAAGAGGCGGAGGAAAAAAAGTGTTCCTCTAGCGAAACTGGCCGCCAGTGAAGGTCTGCCCAAAGGACCAGCCAGCTGGAGCAACATTGTAGGAGACCACAGTACGGCCATCACTTGTTGTGACCTTAAATGAGAGGCTTTGCCCATTGAGATAGTTGTTGCTTTGCCAGTTCTGGCCCCAGTTTCTAGACATCGGCTGCCAACCAGTCCTGGAGCCTTTGATGGCCACGGCATGTACGTCACCAGCACCGCCAACGTTGGTGATGAGGACTAGGTTGAAGTAGGAGTGGCCATTAATTGTGAACCTGATACCTCCCTTTCTCCCGCATGGTACCCTAACAAAACCAAAACCGAACCAAAGATAAGTACTGTTACTAAATGTAGCCACTACTACCTGTTAAATACAGCTATTATTCACCGAGGAAACGGTAAAAGTGTAGTTTGTTTGTCTTGAAAAACAGAAACTAACCCTAAATTACCTTTTATTAGAATAGTTAGTGGGCCTCAAATGCTGCCAACAAATAAGGATTCGACCTTTTTACAGCAAAGCTCATAAATCGACCTTTTTATTGCCTTATAATGAGGTTTAAGAAGTTAAAAAAACTTAGGACCACCAGTTATGGGGAGCAGAAGAACTTGTTTCACAGCAGTTAAATTTGAAAATAGTAGAGGCTCATTCAAAGACTGGTTAGAGATCTAAATAACCCTCTTTGGAAAGCTCATTTAACAGGTGAGAAAAGGGAAAGAGTGACAAAATTACTTCAAATTTGACTTGAGTTTTTGGAAAATCAGAAGACTACAAATTAAACATACCTTCTGTAAGCAACAGGCACAATTCCAGCTCTGTATTGAGCAATGTGTTGGAAGACAGGCTGAGAAAGGTCAAAGTGATGCAGAGGAGGGTTGCACCAGCCTCCTGCATTGTTAGGGAGAGCATTATTTGGAGGGCAGAAATTGGTGGCTGTGACCACGATGGAGCCAGGCAGGCACCACTTGCCATCATTCATACATTTGATCTCATAACAAGACCCACAGCTGAGCCCATTGTTGAACAGAGCTGTGCTCAAAGCTGCAGTATTTGTCCCATAACCCTGACTATACAGGTTTCCATAACCACAAGCTCCACCTGAAAATAAAAGTTAAGATCAATTAGTCAAATAGGGTTCCCTGTTTAGCTGCAACTGTACAAAAAAAAGTTGCTTCATTTGGTGCATACCCATTGTTCCTGATGCATCACTCCCACCATAGAAGGTGGCATGTGCATTAATCCAACCACCACCATATCCATGTACAGCTGAGACCATTGCAAGAAAACCCAACAAGGAAACTCCAGCAAAAGCCATTTTCCTGCACACAAGTAAGTGAACTTTTAAGCACTTCGTTGAAGTCTCCAAGTACAAAACAAAACTCAAAATGTGAGAGGGCTAAGAAGATTACACGAAGATTAGAGGTCTACAAATATAATTGCTGAGAAAAAAAAATGTGAGGCAGTTGAGTGAAGGAAATGGGGAGGGGTGAGGGGGGATTTATAGAACTTTTTGGGAAGGTGGGGGGCTGGACTTGGAGGCTATAAGGCCACCGTTACAAGTTACAACTAAAACTACCTTCCACTTTTGAGCTACTGGGACCAAAAAACCAATAGGCTTATTTCCTTTTTAGAAAATATTTGTCCAATAATTCTGTTAACAAAATATTAAAATTTTAATTTTAATAATGTTAAATATAAAAATATAAAAGTAAAATATCAACAAAAGAGAATTTGATTTATTGATAGATGTATGAATTATTAAGTTTTTCTAAAGTAAAAAATTTTACCAAAAAAATGCACATATTTTACCAAAACAAGGAAAAACAAAGGCACATGCGAGCTTAGAAAGGCTGTGATTTGTGGGCTCAAAACGCGTGGCTTTGTAGCTTTCCAAATGGGAAATTCCCGTAAAATCTAAGTGGGACATAGCTGCTTTTGCCTCTATGCTGATTGCTGAATATACTTCCATACACACATGCAAAAGTAAGCACGGCACATTTGTCACAAAATTATAGATTTGTTAATTTTAAATATGATAAAATAATATAATCAGAAAAAAAATAAAAAAATTTATATTTAATTTTTATATTTTACATATATTAAATACAAAATAAATAAATTATCAAATCTACAAAATATCTTTTTCGCCCTTTTGTTCTCTCTGCCTTTTTCTGCTGTGTTTTCCTCTCTTTTTCTCTCCATTTTTTCTCTTTATCTCCTGTCAGTATCTCCCTCTCATTTCTTTATACTCCATTTACTTTTCTGAATTTCGATTTTATTTATTTTTAACAGCGGGTCTTTCGTTTTCCCTATTTCAATCTTTACAGTTTGGGTTTTACTTTTTTATTAATTGGTCCTGGCAAAGCACATGCTACATTTGTAAAACCTCTACATTCAACAGGAAGAGCAATTTTTTTTTTCTTTTTCTTCGACGTCGGTGCTTTTATGGTGCTGACTGCGGCCGTGAAGTAGGACTTGCACAAAGGTCGGTGAATTTAATACCAAATCTTTTCGTATTTTCTCTTCAGCTTTCAAAATTCTATTCCATACCCCTTCGTTTGTTACTGATCAATTTCTCTAAAACACTTCACATCTACTCTTCCTCCCTCCAGGCCCCAAAATCATCATGAAAATTTAAAATGAAATTTATACAATTTGACACTTTTTACATTTGATGTTTATCAAATATCGAATTATGATTGTTGATGGTATTTTTTGGTATCTTAATTGAAAAGAGGTGAGAGATATTGAAAAGAAAGCGACCTAAACATGCAGTTAAAAAACACAGTCAGAAGATGTAAGAATTATTGCTTTGAGGCACGTTTTGATGCTCAAAGTAAGTAATATATCTGAAAAAAGGTAAATACCGAAGGAAGAAGGAAGTGCAATGTACGTGGAAAACTTAAGAGGAAAGAAAACGTAAGTGTATAGTAAGTAGGAAGGGGTTCTCTCTCTTACGTACTTATACTTTCTATTATCTTATATACAGACCGGATAATGACTTGATTGAATCATTTAACAGATGATGATAAGTATATATGAAATTTCAAAAAGGTTTACGTAAATAATTATGAGTCACATTTAATAATTTTAATTGGACAAAAAATGTATTTAATAATTTTAAATAAATTAGAAATAAATTTTTTAATTTTGATACGATACTTTGACGAGACATTAATGAAGATAATAGGTGAGTTGGGTATTAATGATATGGCAACTTGGATGTACATTGCTTGAGTGACTTAGAAGGTTGACTGTGTTAATTAGGAATTGATCGAATAAATGAGCATAGCAATGATCATTAAAGTTAAAATTTTAATATTTTATTAATAAATTATATGATGTTAAATTTTTTTTTTCATAAATATAGAGTTTAGCGAATAAATTAATTGATGTTTATTCCTTAAACACATGTATTTTGCATTTGTGTATTCGGTTTAATTGTACAATGCATGTAATTTTGCTCATTTTCGAAATTGATTTTTATACACTAAAAATGGAGAAACAAAAATTGAAGTAGCAAGAGCAACTGTTACAGGTTAGAGGTTACCTGCACGTGTGTTGCTGACCTTCTTTTGAGCCATAACCTGCAACTGATTAAGAGCAGAATCTTATGTAATTAAAAGTTAATTATCCATAATTTTCCATCAACTGAACTATATAAAAAAGACCAAAAAAAAAAAAAAAGCAATGGGGGCATAAATCTAGACAGCGCAGACGGATCATTAGGCAAATCATGATCTTATTACAAGACAGGATCTTGCATGTTGACAAAGGATTAAACTTGTGTTTTTTTAATTGGCTGGCGACATAAGAGGACCGTGATTCTCGGTGTATTAAGGAATCAAATCAGACTTATATTAAGAACAATCAAGTGTATATCTGCAACTGGTGGAAGTATCAAGATCCGCTGTTGTGACTTGACTTAATTGGAATCCCCATGGTGTTTCACAATAAAATATTTTCACTCACTGTTGAATTTGTCAGTTTATTTTATGCTTTTTTTTTATTTATGAAAATGACATCAACAATATTTTATCAATAATTATGTTATTTATCGATAAAATATTAAAATTTTAATTTTAATAATAAAAATTAAAATCTTAAGAACTTCAATATAAAAAAAAAATCACAATAACTTGAAAGACAATAAATTTGAAGTAGTTTCGAGTTGCTGGACTAATACAGTAGGTATTCAAACTAGAATGATTAAGAAAATTCCTCGTAGAGTTAAAATAGACTTGGTTCATTGAACTCATGGCTATTATTATTTTAAAAATTTTCTTAAAGGGATATGAAGTCAGATTTTCAATAAATTGACTAATGTGCTCTAGCAAAACAAGCATTGCAGGAGAGAATGACCCTTGTTGGACATGATCTTCTAGTTTTTTAAAAGAAAAAAAAATTTTTTTTTTTTTGCTTGTTGATAGTAAAATCCATATTTTCTATCAACAATTATGTACATCTTTGTTCAAATGTTGAGTTTTAATTTAAGTAATCAAATTTCAATTGTTTGCAATTTCAAATACAAAAAAAAAAAAAATTCATTTTTTTTCTAAGCTAATTATTATCTTGAAATTTAAATTCAAATTTTTAAGGCATCTAAACATTGTGAATTGAAACAATAATGAATAATCCCATCATTGGTTGAAAAAGATAAACAATAATTACATAGTAAATTATGGTTCAAGATTTTAAATTAATCAATCATAGTTTCTTCAAACTTTTTTTCTTTTTGCTTCCTTCAATTTATACTTGAAGTGAAAGTGCCCCTTTGACTAGCATAATAATCCCTAGGTGAAACACACTTATTCAACTTGATAGTGTCACAATTTTAATTGTTTAAGTGTAGTTTACTTTTTTTGAACATGATTAATTATCGAGCTGAGTTAAAATTCAAAAAAAAAAAAAAGGATTGAATGAAACAAATCATCTTCAACGATAATTTATCTTTTTAAAATTTAGTTCGTTAATTATGTTAGCTTTAAAATTAAAAATTTTTTGTTTTAGTTTCTTAAATCTTAAATTTTAAAAATATATAAAAATAGAAAGAGTTAAAGTAAACCGTTAATCTAACAGTTTGAAACTCAGAAGGGTACTTGGCAGTTTGCGATTGCTTGTTGAAAGCGATATAGGGTTGCTTCAAGTATTCCAATTTAACAGCTGCACATGCAATACTTTTGGCTCTATTATTGCAATTCAAAACTCATTTGGCTTCCTTTCATATATATCTTTTATTTTTAACTTTTTCCTTTTCTTTTCTAAATTTTTATTTTGAAATGTCAACTTTATATCTGTCTTCATTTCATAATTTTGATAGGGCAATGATTAAAAAAAAATTGAAATATTATATCCAAATAGTACAAATAAGACATTATTTTTTACAAAATTTTGTACTATTATTTAGATTAAATTATTGTCAAACATTTAATTTAAAATTAATTAATCTTATAAGCATTTAACTTAATTAATTATAAATAAAATATTTAACTTAAATATAAAATCATTAAAACGTAAAATTTAATAAATGCGGTAAATGCTACTTAATAACTATTAATTTTTGTCTCTTATATTATGATTTCGACAATTCAATACATTTTTTATAAAAAAAAAATCCACCAAATTTGATTTTGAAATATTCACGTTGAAAAAAAATTAAAAACCTAAAAGTTATCACAAAAGCGATGTCCAATTTGAAGAAAATCCCAAAACAAAATTATCACACTGGTCAAAAAAAAGTACTACTATGAGGAATATTTGATGAAACGAAAGGACAAATTAGTCATTGTGGAAATGGGCGATAACAATATCCACTTTACCTCTTGAAATTTTAACGGCCAATAACCAACTTGTCGTTTGGATGTGTCAAAAGATCCCAACATCCTTTTCATCTCGAAGTGTTCTTCTTCTCTTTTTTGTTGTTTTGTCTGAAAAACTTTAAGATTTGATCTGAACCGTTCAATCTCCGGCGTATCTTTACTGATTATCCATGCCGTACTAGATTTTTCTTACCTTTCCTCTTTCCTCACCCATTTCACTGTTGCTCAGCCCTGGCTCAATTGGATTTTGATTCTCAGCAACTAAAATTCATGTGGAAAAATCATTGCAATTTTTTACTAACAAACAAACTGTGTTTAATATTTTTTTTAATTCAAATTCAACCATAATAGTTTGATAAGATCATTTATATTAAATTATCGATTGATTACGATATATGTTATTTTTATCTAAGAATTGAACAATTTATTTATTCGATTTTTTTTATAAAAAAAAATTATGTTTAGTTTTTATTTTTATTATTATTAGAAGGTGAGCTAATGTTTATTTTTATTAGAAAGAATAATTTATTTAATTATATGTTGTTTTTTTTTTAGTTTGTTTATTTTATTGATTTTTTATATAAAAAATCCATTTTGAGTATTGTAGTCAAGATTTTTTATTAAAAAAATTTATTGTTTAATTGGTATATATTGCCTTTGTAATATTAATTTTACAATTACGATTT